CAGTGTCAATCAAAGCATGACTCTGAGAGATAGAAAAAAAATGTGCAAGAAATTTGAGGTAGTCCAATCTGAGCACCAGAATGAGAATCTTAGCTCTATCCCTTAAGCTGAGTGATATTTAGCCTCTCAGAGCCTCAATGGTGTGATCTTAAAATGGGTATGGTGGTAATAATATTAGCAAACCCAGTTCTCTCATAGCATAGAGTGAGGCTCAAGTGTAATAAAGCATATGAAAGCACTTTGAGCTGCAGGAAGCACTACAGTGTTTTTACTTACAATGCCTATAAAGACAAAGCTTTGCACAGCCAGTATGGCTCAGTGGTTGAGTATCAACCCATGAAACAGTAGGTCACAGTTTGATTTCTGGTCAGGGCACATGCCCAGTTACAGGCTCGATCCTTAGTAGGGGGTATGTGGGAGGCGGCTGATCAATGTTTCTCTCTCATCTATGTTTCTATCTCTCTATCCTTCTCCCTTCCTCTCTCTCTAAAATCAATAAAAACATATTTTAACAAAAGACAACGCATTGTGGAATTTGATACACTCAAATAGAAAGAGGGATATTTTTAATCTAGGGCCTAGAAGGGGAGCCAGTTCTCTATTCTTTTCAGGTTCAGAGTTGGGTGGCCAAGAGGGATTTTAGCTTAGAACATCAGTAGGCATTTTATTGACTCAGGAAGGGAATTCCAGTCAAGAGCACTTCACCTGATGTGGACTGCAGTTTCAAGAAGGAAAAAAAAAACACAAACAAACAAACAACGGAGATGCTGTTCTCCTGAATACCATCTGGATGGGAAGATGGAAAGTCCTACACATCAGAGCTGCTTATCAGTCTTCACTTTCCAGGAAACTTGGCTCTGACTTGAAAAGCCCCTTACTGCATGGTGCTCAGGTTTCTTAAAACCCTGATGACAAAACCAGCCACCCACTCATGGAGGGAGAGTATCTTTCACCATCCCAGGTAGCCCAGCCTCCTAGGGGGCCTTGAGCTGGGGCTAAAATTAATTTCTCAGGATCAGCTCACCTCTCACCTTCCTTTCCTTTTCCCACCATTGCATTGTGTCAAGAAAATAATCAGAGGCTTTATAAAGAACATTTGTCAGTGTCTGGATGCTAGCTTGGGGCTGATTCTACTTTTATTTCCACCTCCTGTTCCTTAGCCTTTCTATTTCCAGGTTCAAAGAAAAAAGGTGTTTTTGAGTTCTACCTCTCAGAATTAATGGATATAAGATTCCAATGGTTACAAAACTTTTTTTTTCATTTGGATCCTTCCCCCAGCTAGTTTATAAATATTTCACAGTGGGATGTTTCAGTAGAGCCACATAAAATCCCATCAATGCCCATGAGAAGATTCTGGAGTTGACCCATTCACCCTGGCACACAGGGACCTGTAGAGAACATGTCTTCAGAATAAGAAAGCTTAGGTGAATATTCCACAGAAACAATCCAATATTTCTTTAAACATTAGCAAGAGACAAATAATACCACTGAATTCCTCTTGGTGGTTTTTTCTATGTATTACTATCGATAACATAGAATAGCTTAGAAAAAGGAGAATGCAATACTTTCCTAGAAACTGTCTCCAGGTGGCTTTGTTTTTTGATGCCCTGATACAGGGTGTATTTTGCTCTTATGGTTTAATACAGATTAATTAAACATGACTGGATTGCTCTACCGATGCTTTCAATTTTGTTAAATGGGTCCTTTCAGGAAAGCAGGCGGGAGAGAAAGTAAGGTACCCAAGCTCAAAGGTGAGCCACTCCTAGGAAGGCTTGGAAGAGTGGAGTGTGAAACTATAATGTTGCACCTTCCAATCCAGGCAACTGAGTAAAGTGAGAGCTCCTTCTAATACTCAGTATTCTTTCAATTGCCCCTGGAAGCACATTGCCATTGCTGTCAGGTTAGCTTGGACTTGTTACAAATGAGTCTTGTAGGACTGCTAAAAGAACTTCTCTTTTTAAAGGAGGATTTCCAACTCTACATCTCAGAATAACCATGTATGTGTGGTTATTGATACTCACTTTTGTAATATGATGCTTTAAGACAGCGTTCTCAACCTGTGGGTCGCGACCCCTTTGGCGGTCGAATGACCCTTTCACAGGGGTCGCCTAAGACCATCCTGCATATCAGATATTTACATTACAATTCATAACAGTAGCAACATTACAGTTATGAAGTAGCAACGAAAATAATTTTATGGTTGGGTCACAACATGAGGAACTGTATTTAAAGGGCCAGCAGGTTGAGAACCACTGCTTTAAGAAAAGGAATAAACCTAAGATGACACAAAAAAATGTTGCTCACTTTTATTAACACAATTTTCAAAATATCCCCTAGTTTTCTGTGGGGCAATAGTGGAAATCTGTCTAGTTGAGAACAGGAGAATCTGGTCTTTTTTCTGTCCCTTATTCACTCTGTGACCTTAAGAGAGACAGCGTCTCTCTGGGTCTCCTTTTAAATTTGAAAAGTAGAAAAAGGATATCTACCCTACCCAACTTAATAGTCAAAATAAAGTAATCTGTATAAGTGAATATATAATAGTAAAAAAAATGTTACCCAAATGTTTGGGAATCCTCATAATTAACATTTATTGAGTATTGACCTAATTGACCCAGAATTATGTTAAGTATTTTACATGTGTTAAACTTATTTAATCTTCACAGTAATCCTGGAAAGTAAGTATTAGTACTACTAACATTTTAAATACTAGGAAACAACTATCCTGGAGGTTAAATAACTTCCCTAAGATTTAGTAGTGGATCACAAAATAGGAAAAATAAGCACTTAGGGAACTAAGAAAACAGAGTAAAAAAATTAGAAGGTGGGGAAGGGGAGAAAGAATATATTTTGAAAGCATTACGGTGATCATCAGAAGAGAAAAATCAGACCTGTTAGATATTCTCACACTTAGGGTTTAGTGTTGTGGTATTTTGAATTATATGTGGAGAGAGGCACCAAATATTTCAGTGTTTAGAGCATCTCAAGGTCTTAATCCAGCCCAGGGAATAGCACCAGCATCCCAACTCCAGCCAGTTGCCTCCAAAGCCCATACTTATAGCTACTATACTGCCTCATGTCCTACAATAATACTTATTATTAGTAAATAACAATTACCAACAGTTACTAGTAATGACAGTTTTCAGTGTGAAGCAATGTCATTAAATAAAGCTTTTTCTCTGTTTTGAACACATAGGAAGCAACCTGTAATTTGGAACTAAAAATACAAAGAGGTAGGCACACAGCAAGGGTCACTGGTCTCCTTATATGTTTGTGGCTTTAAAATTACCACCAAAGAGCCTTTTCATTGCTTGGCAGTAAACTCATAGATTCTATATTGGCTCAGGGCAAGTGGTTAATATCAATTTAGAAATCTTTGAAATTCCTAATAAAAACATAACAAACCCTACAGCAGCACAGGCAGGGCCAATGATAACATGCATGGAGAGAGACCGATTTTTCCTATGAGAAAATAAACAGCTTTTAAGACCTCAAGCTATTTTGATTTCCCGGCAACCCCCACCCCACAGAGTTTAAGCAAGAAGCATTTAAAAATCAGGTCTATTGGTGTCTAGTGAATTTGGATGATGATAAAAATTCAGAGTGGTTGTTAACACCTCTGGCTCTCTTCCAAGGCTCAAAGATAATCTCATAAGGTCATTTTTTGTGACTTAATTTCAAAAGTGCTAAATGTATGATAAGGGACTCCCAGCAAAGGCTGAGCTGGATACTGAGAGGGTAGATAAGGGGCAGGTGGGGCTTTCTGCTTCAATAACTTGGGAGTCTTGTATGCTATTTGTAGATGCTTCCATAATTCTAAAATCAGACATAGGAAGACTGGTTGTTAGGGGGGGAAACCCAGTAGCACAGTTACTTCTGATTAGCTTTAAAAAAATAATGCTGAGTTAGGCAGGAAAACATAATCACAGCCTTCAGGTCATTCAAAATTCTTGAGCCACAATTATTAATAGCTAAACAGCTCTTACATTTCCAAGAATGTGCTTCTGGCTTTCTCATCCCTATGCACATCTCACTATAAAGGAAGTGAGGGGATAAAAGTGAGGTAATTTTGGGGAGCTCAGAGTGTAGGAGTTTGACAGACAAAGCATTGTGACCACATTAATGGAAAGTTCAGTATTCTATACTATTCTCTTGCATCCACCAGGTAATAATACTATTGTGGAGCAAAGGCCATTAGCCAAAGTATTTTCCTTTCCATACCTGAAACATTTATTATCAGGGTTTTTTCCTGGGAGAAGTGAGAGATGGGAGGGAAAACTAAGGGATTATTTAAATGATCTCTTCTAAAGAAGGCAACCTTCCCTCCCACTGCCCTTGGTTCAGCCATCTGGCTCTGGAGTTTGTTGGCAAATGCTCCTTGACTATAAAATTTAAACAGATGATTAACCCCTCTCCCTCCCATGCCAGAATGCTTGCTATTAAAACCCCTACTTAGGACCAATCTCTGAATATTAAGGTAGGCTTAGTGTTAGTGAAAAAAAAAATTGGCAAAGTCAACCAAATGAATGAAATTCCATCCTTAGTTTTTCGGTTACCCTGACTTATTATTCATCCATTCAAGTTTAGTAAACTTCCTTTCATAGTCTTACTGCATTCTCTGGCCATGTGTACCTAACTAAATAGTACCACAAAATCCCTGATCTCAAATTAACTATTTTGTGATGATCAACAGTAGCTCATGATAAAGATGGTACACCTTCCCTAAGGCATTGCTCATCATTTGCAGTGCCCTGGAAATCCTATAGTAATTGTCTTGGTATGAGCCAGTTGGGTTGACAGTGTTCAGTGCATAGTTAGTAAGTCTCCAGGAGCTCCCTACACTGGACCAAGTCCTAAATAAATAATTTATCTTCTCATACAAAAGCTAGATATGTACACTTAATGCTCAGTGTTTTATGATTTAATGATGGTCATGAGAAAATTACCATTTAGAAGAATGGGAGAGCAAAAAAGAATACGGTCATTGAGAGTAAAACATGTACCTGTGGGGTAATGCTCATTCACCGGCCAGTTGTCCACCTGAAGCGTGGCATTGCCTCCATTCCTGGTGAAGCGCACCACGTGGTATTTACCATCATTTACTGGGGTTCTCTCTTCTTTGATGGAGATGTCAACTGTCCCGATATTGAAGACAACCCCAATTTTCCCCTGTTCCTATAAGAGAGAAACACAAAAGGCATAGTTATCACCAACCACAAGGTTTTCTCTTTTTAAAGTTGATCCGCCAACTAACAATAAATGTGTAGGTACTCAGAGGGAGGTGTCAGCATGAAGTTAACAATTTCTCCATGGGCTTTCATCCTAAACATAAAACCAACAGTATCAAGTTACCCAAGTTGCTCTCACAGACTGCACACCATAGGGTTACATCATTTGATAGTCCTCAACAGATATCAAAGTTGGAACCGCAGGACTACCTAATAACTGTTCAGTAGCACAGAAAAACTCACTTCTGTGTAGTGAGTTAGGACTGTTTTCTAGGAGATACTAATAAGACATTGGGCCCTACAGCACCTCACAATTCAGATTGAGGATTAAAGTGTGAAGCTAAGCCTTGTACATTTTGGGTAATCAAGGCCAAGGGGAGGAGTGCTGAATCATTAGAAGTCAATGAAAGAGGAGCTAGCATTATGGAACAACTCCTGATGATACCTCTCTATAGGTTTAAAACAGAAAATGTGTCCTCAATAGAGGCCAGGGACACTGAGCTGGGGTTTTCAGAGTCAGATGGCTGTCACCCTTCCCACACTTGCTACTCCTGAGGTTAATCCAAAGAGGGATGCAATATTCAGTAATAAAGCTTTATGGTACACAGCAGGAGATACCTCTGATACCCAAAAAGACTTTTGCAGGTGAAAACACAATGAATTCCAAAAGGAAAACACTGTGGCAATGGAGGGGATGATTATGGTGCTGGTGATGGTGGTAGTGAAGGTGGAGGTGGTTATATCATCCACCTCCTGGGAAGTGAAATATTGAAAAGTAACAGTGCAATGGAAACTTTTACTGTTCTCCTCTGATAATTGGTTACAACCAAGTGTTGGGATGAGTATTCCACCGAGACATAAAATAAAAGTAACCTTAGTGACTAGAATCAGTCTCTCTCCATGTCTTGGAAAGGCATTAAGACATGCAGGGTGCCAGATGGAATAGGCATAGGGATAGTCTGACTTATTGGCTAAGCAATAGGTTGGACATTGATGGATAGTACAATTTTGTTGTAATTCTGATGTTCTACAAGACTGAGTCACAGTATTTATTCACATAGTCCCATATCCTCTGTTTCCTAATTCAAGAAGTAGAAGAAGAAGACAAGGAGGAGGAGGAAGAAGGGGAAGTGAGAGGGAGACAGAAGAGGAGGAAGGGACAAGTAGGAGAAGAAAGAGAAGGTTATGGGAAAAGAAGTCTAGAATTCATATGAACTAACATGTAAGAAAGATTTTGCTGAATCTCAGATTTAGTAATTTGGTTCATTCATTCATTCATTCATCTATTCAATCATCCTATACAAAAATACAATGTTTATTAAGCACTTACTGTGCTTGCTTAAAGTTGATAAATTATGACTTCTGGTGAGATTTTAGGCACTGATCTCCATAGAGTTAGTATGTTTTACTTTTTTTTTAAAAGACAGGCTTTACTCAACTTCTTAGTTTTCTGTTAGTAAATTAACACACCTTGTGCCCAACCAAAGGATGGAGAAACAGCCAGGAGTCTTGATCTTAGAAAGTAGGAATCTAGGCTGATCCATCAAGGCTGCTTTCAGTAGGCAGAGATGCTGAGATACAGGGTGGACATCACTGCTTCCTTTGTATCCAACAGTACAGCACACAATGTAAAATGATGCCTGCAATTCCCAGGTTCTGTTCTCTGGGAAAAGTGATTCGGCTGCCTGCCAAAGTAGTGACTCCATTCACCCATGATTTCTTAAATCCCTATTTGCTGTGACACTATGTTCTCAGTGTTGCTCTGTTTTATTTCCACTTCTTCATCTTCAGCACTAAAGTGCCTAGCATGAAGATATGATGCATAGATAAATGTACCTAATGATAATTTTTTGCATAGTTTATGCTCGTAATTAATAGTATGATTCATTTTATTATCAATTCTTAATTCTCTAGGAATTCAGAAATGACAATATCACTTCTTTTGCTTTTTCTTAGTTAAACAATTAATTTTCTTTGCTAAGGTTGTGTGAGTGTGTGTGTGTGTGTGTGTGTGTATACCTAGTTACCCTCATCCCTAAATAAGCAAAGCTATAGGAACCTGAGTTAGAATCTGTTTAGCAGAATGAATGGACTGAGGGAGTTAAGAAACCATGACCGGGGACACCATTACTCCTCGGCCCAGCCCACGCAAGTGGGCTGTTCATTGCATCACTGGTCTTCAATGAGAAGCCACTGTATAAATCCTGGATGTGTGGCAAGGACTGCTGGTGACTCAACTCACCTCTGAGTCACTAATTAATCCTGGATGGAGAACAGTTTGAGGGGGAGAGAGGAGAGCTCTAAACCAATCCTCTGCAGCTTGTCAGCCACAGCAGTGGCCAAGTACGGTTCTGGCTCGGTGAGCTGGCTGATCAGCTAGATATAGTCTTGGGCAGATTCTCTGCAAGATCCATAATAGATTCAGAGAAAGGAAAGATTTAATCTCTGCCAGAGTAAATATTTGGTCCTTATCTGAAGCTCCACACATTTGCCGCCGCAATTGCTGTTTCAGAGAGATCTTCTTAATCCTGTTCACATGTGGCCAATGTCGATGGAGACCCCCAACCCGATGTTTCACTGTGTTTCCTGTAGTGGTAATCGTGGCTGTACTAGACCTCAGATGCGGTCTCTTCACTCGCATAAAATTTCATTACTTCAACCTCCTCGTCGTTTGTCATGGGACCACAGTGGCATTATACTTTGAGGCTAACTGCTTTGTCTCAGTTCATTATAAACCTTGTGGCAAATACCCAGATAGTCTCCCCGGTTTGAATCCATCATGCTCAGCTGTCATGAAAATAAACTCTTATGGTCCATGTGTCCAGAAAAGAGAAGATGTAAGAGCGAAAAATCTTGGCTTCAGAGTCAACCCTGACTGACCTTGGGCAGGTTACTTAACTTTTCTGACCCATTTCTTGATACTATATTATGTGGACAGGATACCAGCTTTACATACTTTATAAGGCCATTGTAAGACTGAAATGATACGATTAATATCTGAGCCCTTTATAAATAATCACATAAGATACAAACAGGAGATAAATGAGATCAGGAGAAGAAACCATGCAATCCTTTGACCATATACAACACTGATTACTGCAGAAGTTAATTGGTTCAAAAGAATAAACATGGGTTTTCGTCAGCATGATTCCAACAATGCCTGTGGTTCTGAAAGCTCTATGACCTTAGGCAGGTTATTTAACGTCTTTCTGATTTTCCTACTATAAAAGGGATGTGTGTTGCACGGCTGCTATGGGTCAGTGGTTGAGCATCAACCTATGAACAAAGAGGTCATGGTTTGATTCCCAGTCAGGGCACATACCCAGGATGTAGGCTCAATCCCTAGTAGGGGGCATACAGGAGGCAGCCGAACAATGATTCTCTCTCATCATTGATGTTTTGATCTCTTTCTCCCTCTCACTCTCTGAAAAAAAGGAGGGAAGGGCATGCAGATTAAGGAAAAGACTACCTCTAAAGCTTTGTGAGGATTTTAGAAGAACACACAAGTATGGAACCCTGGCAGGTGGCTGTGCATACTTTGGGACTTCAATGAATGTCAGTCATAATTCCCCTTTCTTTCCCTCATTAGTGAAGTTAACATAGTGGCATGAGCTTCAGAACTTTTGGCTTGGCCACACTGTCATCAAGAAATACAATGAAAATAAATGAAGATTTTAGCAAATGGAACATTAAAAAACATTTGAAAGGTTGATTTCTTGTCACAATTTGGTAGTTGCTTTCTCTTCATGTTCCTTGGTGACATTTATAAACCTCCCCAAGATAACCAAAGTGTGGCTGCAAAAACATATATAAATGATAATAACCCATGCCCATCACTATCAAAGTTGCTACCCAGTCATTCACCTCAATCTATGCTTTTCTTCAATACTACAAACAAAGACAAGTGGTAAATCCAAAGACATTGTTAAAGAATCTTCAAGTGCAATCAGGGGAAAAAAAACCACACCAAAAAACAAACAAACAAAACTGCAGAGCACAGTAAATAGCTGTCTTTAAATAGCCAGTAAGTCATTCTTCATCAATAATGACTGTTTATGAGCTCACCTGGTTCATCAAATGAGTCAGATTCCAGTTTTCTGATCTTCCATCAGCTACATTACAGTTCATGCTGTGGAGGTGACCCCAGAGATACTGCCAATACTAGGGTCACATTTCAGGAGCAAAAATACACCAGGGCAAAGAAAAATCCTCAGAAATAAAGATTTCCCTGAAGGCAATTTCTTCATTCACTCCTGAGTGCCCCTGGGGAAGGCAGAATGTACCTTCCACTATTTCAGAAAATTGCAGCTGACAGAAACAGAACTGGGCCTCTCACATGTATGCCAGGGAGGTGTGCAAAGGAAGCAGTTCTTAGTATCTTCCCTTCTAGGCTTCCCACAGAATCTGGAAGCTCAGTGTGAGTCAGTAATACAAGGAAAATGGCATATATGTGATTTCTCTTGGGTCCACACACTTCCAGGTCTGCCATACCCATTTCAGGGTCTGGGTCCTGGAAAATAAAGTCACTAGTGGCACTGTTTGCCATATTTTTCTAGTCCCCTCCCTTTCACCATTGCAGCCTTATAGTAAGAGAGAACTGGTGTGTCTCTTTGTAATGTGTAGGGCCAAGAGATCAGTGTTGATCGATCAATTGGGGTCACTCCTGAGCCACACACTTAATTGCTGGTGTGAGACCCACCAGAGTTCTCCCCTTTTCTCTCAACCACTCCACTCAGCAAATTCCTGCTAGTGGCTTCTTTGTCAGCCTGGCTCACTGAGTGAGGATGGCAATGAGCCAACTAGCAATGGACATAGAACATGACAGAGAAACAAAATTTGGTTGTTTGATTCCACCATTTTTTTTTAGAATAAATGTTTATTGATTTTTAGAGAGAAAGGAAGGAAGAGGGAGAGAGAGAGAGAGAGAGAGAGAGAGAGAGAGAGAGA